TAACTTTTTTAGATTTTTCTACCTGGATTATTGAGCATGGATCAGGATATCTATATTTAAAATTCTATATTTTTCTTCATCATTTGATTTATTTGCACTCATTGTGGTTTTGTTTCTTGTATACAGATTATTTTTTTCTTGTATACAGATTATTTTTAGCTTTGAATTAAAGTTTAGCTTTGATTTAAAGCTTTAATTTAAAGTGTAATTCTTGTTTTGTGATTTGTACATCTGTGGGTTAGAATAATGTTGATCCAAAGATTGTGTCTCTTCTTTAAACATGTTTGAGGGAAATATTCCTGAGATCCAATAATATTGTCTTTTTATAATTTTTCAGTTTAATTAACTTTAATTAACAGATTATATAATAAAGTCAAAGGGAAAACAGGATTTCATGATAAAGCCGGCACCGTTTATTTATTTTTAATCTTCACTGATAAAAAAAAAAAATATATATATTTTATACATAAAATGTAAAAAAAAAACACCCCCTGTCCCTCCATCCCGGTCCTCCTGCCTGCCAGGGCTCGAATCCGGCCTTTGTGAACAGGCGAGTCCGGGTCTCGAGTCTCGGCCTCACGGACTTCAACGTCTCGGCAGCTCGTATGATCCTCTGCGGTGACTCCGCTCGCTTGAACTTTATAATCATCACCAAACACAAAAAACGCCTGGACTTCAGAATTAAACACGGCGTTGTCATTATTGTTTTTAAAATCTTAAAAATAGATCCAGCCGCTGCTCCGCATCCAGAGAAATTGCAAATGGCGGCTCAGTGAAAAGTTTCTGAGATCCAGTGACTCCTCCCTCTGACCAGTCAGAGTCCTGCATTCACGCTTTGGTCCGGACTCAGCTCAGCTCGCTTGGTCCCACCAGAGACGCAGGGACAAAAAGAGGTCCTGAATCAGCCTCAAATCAGCTAAAAATACAAGCTAAAGGGCTGGTGCAGAAGGGTTCTTTCTGTGGCGGGCTGCCCAGAATTGGGGCTTATTAGGGGCGGTGCAAAAGGGGCAATAGTTAACCTTCTCTGTGTGTGTTAATCTACAGCTGGGACCACCCTCACATGTTGCACGATTCTGGACCCCCTTCTGTGTAATTCACCTTCTATGTTGAGTCATCAGACTTTGAGACTCCTGAAGAAGGGTCTTGATCAAAGAGCTTCACTTGGCCTTATCAACAGAGACTGGTAGCCACGACAGAAAAGGAAATTAACCCCAGTCTTACATCGGGGAAACAAAACAGCCACTGGCCAAAAGGATGGCCCAGCACAGAAGATCAACATCATCAGGCCAGGATTCTGCGGTCTACACTCATCTCCAGGCCAGCGGTCACTCTTTCAGGGATGAAGATGTTCACATCCTGGACAGAGAGGAACGATGGTTTGAGAGAGGAGTAAAGGAGGCCATCTTTGTGAAAAGAAACCGTCCATCATTAAACAGGGGTGGAGGCCTCCGGGTTCAACTGTCCCCCTCTTACAATGCTGTGATTGCTAGTATAACTCAGCCCTCTGTGAATTGTAAACAGCCATCAGGGTGCTAATGATCCATTGTTAGGCTGATGGTCCTTCTTGAGCATGTGATCAGCTGGTTTTGGTTGTCAGCAGCAAAACTGGTTGATCCACCCTGAGAAGGTGCTATTTAAGAGACTGAGCTGAATACAGCACCTCAGACTGAGGAAGTCTCTCGGATGAGAGACGAAACGTTTCTACATTTTTTTTGTTGATTTGCTTTGTTTTGTTTTTTTGAATGTCCAGAGGACCAGATTTAACTTTTTTAGATTTTTCTACCTGGATTATTGAGCATGCATCAGGATACCTTGTAAGCACAATAATCATTTGTAAACCTATTTCTTTAGTCTTTAATACTGTACTTTATCACTGCATTATAAGTATCTACAACTATTATTATATACTAAAAAAAAAAAAAGGTTTACAAATACTTATTGTGTTAACTTGGTCTGAAATGTTTAATATAACAACTCTAGATGAAATATATAGATTAACAGATTTTGGCAAGAAACTGTTTTGTCTCTCTGTCACCCTTAATTAATGCATAATAAGCAGTTATTAATGACTTACAAAGTGTTTATAGAGGAATTAATAACATATCTATAAACCATTTATTAGCGTCTATGAGGGGAGCCTTATTATAATGTGGTACCTTATTTGGCCAATAACCGATGCAGACACTGATATTTTATATATTTTCCTTTGTCAGAACATAGCCCTCTTATTTAGGCTTATTTGTTACAAAAATTCCCACTAAAAATTAGACGTAAAATGGATGTGCAGATCACGTTTATATTGAGTCCGTCGATCTAGACCAATTCTGGACGTCTCCAGGACGTGCAAACAAAGTCCACTCTGGACGTCTAACCAAGACCTCACTTGTACGTCGATATAAAGTCGAATGTTTGAACGTCGGACTTGGAGGTCGTATAGACATCCAAGACAGGTGCAAGTGTGCCTTAGTGAATCATGATTTTTATAACCATAAAATTTACAATCATAATTTATAATCATAAAAGAGTAACTGTGCACAGTTACTCTTTTATGATTATAAATTTGCACGCCTTCATTCATAAACCAACTGTTGCTATTTTCTCTCAAAGCTATTTCTGTTAATCCAGTAAAGAGGATAAAGGAAAAAATTTAAGGTGTGATTTATTTGTAAAACTTCGTCCATCTGTTTCTAGTGACATTTAAAGAGTGATGATTTAATTGTAAACCTAGTATCTGTAGTGCGTGGTTTCCTGTTGCACAATAGATGGTCAAATATACTGTTTCTTTAGCTTTGTTTGCCGCGCAGAGGTGGCGCAGCGGCAGAGCAGCTGACTTTCAACCTGAAGGTCCTGGGATTGAACCCCCGTCATTCCAACATTCATCTGAGGGTGAATGTGTTAAACACTGCATGGGAACGTACAATGAAGACAACACGAAGCACTTACTAATTATATTATTATCTGAAGTGAATAAAATAAGTTAAATTTTGATGTAGAAAATACGTCTATATTGACCGTCCAGTAGACGTCGGAAAAAGAAGTCGTCTGTCGTAACAGTCTGCACCTGGGAGGGACCCAAATTAGACGTGCAAAAACGACTTTAAAAATACGTCATTTAGACGTCTCCTTGCTCAGTGGGTTGTGCAACAGCTGTAAGAGCTGGTGACATAACAGCCATGATATGCATAGCACTTTAACATTTAACATTAAATGAAAAGTGTTAAATGTTAATTAGCATTAGTCACCTGCAATGCCGTCTCACTTGTGGAGGCTTGTTCCGGGTTTCTTGCTGCAGTGCGAGATCCTCTGCACTCCTGTGTATTAAGGACAGCCTTTTCAAGTTCAAAGTTTTTGTCTATACATTGTGCCATAAAACTAATCATGCTAACGGCGCTAACATGGCGTCCAAATGTCTGTGGTAAAACTCACCCAACAAGTCGTGCTATCAGCTATTAGCTTCTCATTGACGTCGGAAACGACGACTTGTATCTCGGGTAACCTCGGAAAAATCTCTCCGACTGGGGACAATGTAGCGAGACTTAACGTAGTCCATAAATCTTCAGAATCAGACATCCTCACCAATGAAAAATAACACTTCCACACCACCGACATTTTGAATTTTCCTCTCTGCCGTGAGATCGGGTAGGCACACGTGATGTCATCATGTTGTGCTGCCACTGCAGGCAAAAACAGCACCTTTTATATCGGCAAGTTATTTTAATGGAATGGCCGATGTGCGATATTGAAATTTAACACTAATATTGGCCAATACCATGCCGATACTATCGTGCATCCCTAGTCTTCAGTTACAAATAAAGTCCAGTTTTGTTTTTTAACTTTTTTTGGAAGCTGCTGATTTATTAATGTCACGCTCTCATTTGTTCCTCTCAAGGCACAGCACGGCTAAATGAGTTTCATACCGTGGTTTGTTTCAGGGAAGGAGGCTGAAGTCTGTCAGACCTGCAGCTGCAGTTCACACATGCTTACTAAGGTGAAGGCAGCACAGCTGAATGGACTGTACTTATGTAGAACCTTTCTATCTTATCAAGACACTCAAAGCTCTTTACAACACAATCTGTGCCCTCATTTACCCATTCATACAGCACTGTACTAGATCTCTACAAAGAATAATCAGAGCTTTATCACATTCATGCACCGATGGGACACACATCAGAGACAATGAGGGGTTCAGTGTCTTGCCCAGGGACAGTTCAGCATGTGACTACTGGTGGAACTGAACCCCCAACTCTTGAATTGGAGGACGACTGCTCTGACCACTCAGCCACAGCTGCTCTTAGCTGAAGAGGATTATTATTTAATGTATGTAAATAAATGTCTAAAAAAAAAACCTATTTAATATATAAATAGTTTATTTTTTAGACATTTATTTTGTACAGTTACAGTTGTTTACTATATGTGCCTGTGTGACAACTGGGACAAAGCTTTGACTCCATAATATATTTTTGGTATTACATTATGGAAAGAAAAAATATTGCTATATTGTATATTGCGATTTAGCTTGTAAATAACGAGATATTAATTTTAGTCCATATCACCCAGCCCTAAATACCGGTATTTACAATTAAAACTACTGTACTAACCTAGTATATTTATACCTAACTGGTGGCATAATAGTTGCATATATTTTCTGAGTTTTAGCCACGTTTGTGTTTAAGGTCATTCTGTTAAGGTTAGCTGGCTGTGCCAAGTCAGATATTTTGTATTTGTATTTATCTATTTATTATTAATAATATTTTTCTTCTTTGAATACACTGATGTTTTTTTCTTGAAATCAGAACCTCTCAGAGTCCAAAAATGTGTTCTGCAGAGTAGATGACAATGTGCTTTAAACCATGAATAATTTCATTTAATTTGTTAATTTTCTTCACACAGTTTAAGCTTTTCTTCAGACTTTTTGAGATGAAACCAGATTCTGAGGAATCTTCTGCCAGGTGCTGGATAGAGCTTGGGCTTTCAGGTTACCATTTTACGTACTGTTTCAGATGGAGAACTCAACGTTTTGGAGGATTTACTTACTGAAGCTCCAGATCAGGATGATGAACTCTACAACCCTGAGACTAAGCGCGACATCAGTGACAAGAAAGGTACTGGTACTGCACACAATACTGTTGGATAGTACTACACAGAATACTCCTCACAGTTCAGTCTATGGTACTACGAGGATACAGCAGATGGCTCAGAGTCATGGAACAACAAGCTTACATCCGTCTAAAAAAATTTAAGTCTGGTCCTCTGAATGGGTCAAAAACAAAAAAATTGTAGAAATGTTTCGTCTTTCATCCGAAAGACTTCTTCAGTCTGAGGAGCTGTACTCGGGTCAGTCTTTTTTTTTTTCAGTCAATCTTTATTTAGACAGGCTAGCCTCATTGAGCCACGGGGACTCGTTTGCAAGAGGGACCTGTTCCAGACAGAACATAGAAAGTACAGACAACAAAACCGTAGACAAGAACAACAACAAACTACAGTAAAATGCCGTTAAAATAAGAGTAGTATACAAAACAATACATCAGGGTGTCGTAAAACAGTGAAATACTAAAAACAAGAACATATTTGCTTTGATTTTTCTATTGACATTATCAAATGTTTGAAACCCCTTAAAGAAATCAAGGAGGACAACTTCAGCAAGGTGTTGCAGGTGCTGAGTAGGAAAAGGCCTTTTTTCCAAGTTCAGTCCGCACTGAGGGAACGCTGCAGGCAATGATGGCCTGAGAGTGCATGTTGTAACTGCACTGACGGCATGACGTGTGGGAGGAGCTATAAGAAGGTAGCAGACCAAGGAGGGATTTATAGATGGAAAATGAACCAGTGGGAGAGACTACGTGTAGATGATGATGACCAACTGACCAAGGAGTACAGGATACATTGATGGTACAGTAGTTACAACCAGTTATGAATCTTAGTGTGCTGTGTTGGACAACATCTGCAAGGAGCTGGCAGGGGCATTCATGTAAATAATGTCACCATAGTCAATGGCCGGTAAGAAGGTAGCTGTTACAAGGCGTTTTGTGACATTCAGATCTATTTCTGAAAAAGAAACCCAATTTTAATTTCAGTTTCTTTATCAAGTTTTCATGTAATTTAAAGAGAGATGTGCATCAGCCAAAATTCCCAAGTATTTGTAAGAATCTGCAAACTCAATAGGAACACCATGCATGGATGAGACATGAGGAAGAGTTACTAGCACTGACTTTCTGTTAGAAAATATCCCTTTCGTTTTGTCAACATTTAGCACCAGCTTGAGATGGAACAAGCTGACTAAATTATGTCAAAAGCAGACTAGAAGCTGGAAATACTTGGCAACTGTGTTAGCTTGGCAATAAACAATAGTGTCATTGGCATACAGATGCAAGGACGCATCAGGAATGTTTAAACCTACGTTAGTTATATAAATTGTAAAAAGAGTGGGACCTAAAACTGAGCCTTGTGGCACACCATTGGTGACCATTAGGTAGCTAGATGAAGTATCGTTATGTCGAACACATTGCCTCCGACCTGAGAGATAATTTGAGACCCAGCCAACAGTGTGATCAGAGAAGCCAACATCTGAGACCAGAAAAAACAACTGTAATGATAAAGCAGATCCTTAGGCCTCTTGGTTATTTTGCTAAATCTTCAGTTAGAAACCTTGGGATAATCTTTGACTCAGGTTTTACTCAGGAAAATCAAGTAAAGTCTCTAGTTCGTTCCCGTTTCTACCATCTGGAAAATATTGCCAAGCTTGGCTGTACTATCGCTCGTCCATAATTGGAAATGTTAAATCATGCTTTTGTTTCGTCTTGCCTAGACTTTTGCAGTGCGCTGTTAATAGGGCTGGGCCATATCCTATCATTCATGATAATACCGGTAAAAAAAACTTGCCCCAGGAAAATAAATTATGTCATGATATGCTAATTTCATGGTGTAAATATGTTATCCCACCACGTAGTGGATTACGCTCACTTGGGTCATGCAGCGATATTCAAGTTGTAAAGGTCGCGGAGCTCCTCTCTAATCAAACCCCCTCCTTCCTGACGTTGGACGTTCGGGGTAAGACCTATTGTCACTTATTGTTTTCTCTGCCTGTAGCTTGAGTAATTTGCTTGCTCGAGGAGTCTTTTGCGTTCTGGATTTAACTTATCTTTTGTACAGGTCCTTCTAAAAAAATTGGCATATTGTGATAAAGGTCATTATTTTCCATAATGTAATGATAAAAATGAAACTTTCATATATTTCAGATTCATTGCACACCAACTGAAATATTTCAGGTCTTTAATTGTTTTAATACTGATGATTATGGCATACAGCTCATGAAAACCCAAAATGCCTGTCCCAAAAAATTAGCATATTTCATCCCACCAATGAAAGACAAGTGTTTTTAATACAAAAAACGCCAACCTTCAAATAATCATGTTCAGTTATGCACTCAATACTTGGTCAGGAATCCTTTTGCATGAATGACTGCTTCAATGCGGCGTGGCATGGAGGCAATCAGCCTGTGGCACTGCTGAGGTGTTATGGAGGCCCAGGATGCTTCGATAGCGGCCTTAAGCTCATCCAGAGTGTTGGGTCTTGCGTCTCTCAACTTTCTCTTCACAATATCCCACAGGTTCTCTATGGGGTTCAGGTCAGGAGAGTTGGCAGGCCAATTGAGCACAGTAGTACCATGGTCAGTAAACCATTTACCAGTGGTTTTGGCACTGTGAGCAGGTGCCAGGTCGTGCTGAAAAATGAAATCTTCATCTCCATAAAGCTTTTCAGCAGATGGAAGCATGAAGTGCTCCAAAATCTCCTGATAGCTAGCTGCATTGACCCTGCCCTTGATAAAACACAGTGGACCAAAACCAGCAGCTGACATGACACCCCAGACCATCACTGACTGTGGGTGCTTCACACTGGACTTCTGGCATTTTGGCATTTCCTTCTCCCCAGTGTTCCTCCAGACTCTGGCACCTTGATTTCCGAATGACATGCAAAATTTGCTTTCATCCGAAAAAAGTACTTTGGACCACTGAGCAACAGTCCAGTGCTGCTTCTCTGTAGCCCAGGTCAGGCGCTTCTGCCGCTGTTTCTGGTTCAAAAGTGGCTTGACCTGGGGAATGCGGCACCTGTAGCCCATTTCCTGCACACGCCTGTGCACGGTGGCTCTGGATGTTTCTACTCCAGACTCAGTCCACTGCTTCCGCAGGTCCCCCAAGGTCTGGAATCGGCCCTTCTCCACAATCCTCCTCAGGGTCCGGTCACCTCTTCTCGTTGTGCAGCGTTTTCTGCCACACTTTTCCCTTCCCACAGACTTCCCACTGAGGTGCCTTGATACAGCACTCTGGGAACAGCCTATTCGTTCAGCAATTTCTTTCTGTGTCTTACCCTCTTGCTTGAGGGTGTCAATGATGGCCTTCTGGACAGCAGTCAGGTCGGCAGTCTTACCCATGATTGCGGTTTTGAGTAATGAACAAGGCTGGGAGTTTTTAAAAGCCTCAGGAATCTTTTGCAGGTGTTTAGAGTTACGTCATTGATTCAGATGGTTAGGTTAATAGCTTGTTTAGAGAACCTTTTCATGATATGCTAATTTTTTGAGACAGGCATTTTGGGTTTTCATGAGCTGTATGCCATAATCATCAGTATTAAAACAATTAAAGACCTGAAATATTTCAGTTGGTGTGCAATGAATCTGAAATATATGAAAGTTTCATTTTTATCATTACATTATGGAAAATAATGACCTTTATCACAATATGCTAATTTTTTGAGAAGGATCTGTACAGTTTTTCATTCTAGTACACAAACACCATCAGTACATTTGTTTTTCTACTGTTGGACTGTGCTTTAAACGCCTTTCATCTTTCAGCATCTCAGTTGTTGGTGTATTTGGGATCTGCTAGCTTTTGCTAGCGTTAGCTTCTTCTCCCCCGGCTTCCTGTTTTCACTTGCTCCGTGTGTCAGATTTTTAGCTACTCCTCTGCCTCCTTTAGCAGTAATGATATATGTAATAAATGTAGTCTTATGATCGCTTTAGAGGAGAGGCTGTCTGAACTGGAAGCTTGACTCCACACTGTTGAAAAACCAGTAGCTAGCCAGGTCCCCTTAGACAACACGGAACCACTGATTAGCGGTCCTCCACCAGACTCCGAGAAGCAGGGACCCCAGGCCGACTAGGTGGCAGTCCGGAGTAAGCGTAGTGCTAAGGCTAAACCCTCAGTTCAGCTCAGTGACACACCCGCTGAGATGCAGACTCTGGTTATTGGCAGCTCCATAGTCCGAAACGTGGCTTTAGAAATAAGGTGGTTAGGAGGAAAGACAAAAAAACGCATGTTAAGATACAAATAATTACAAATACAAACTGGTAGAACAGAGCAATTAAAGACAGCAGCAGAGAGAGGAAATTAGGTCAGTTTGTCTTCCAGCAGTCTAAGCCTATAGCAGCATAACTAAGGGATATCCCAGGAAACCCAAGCCAACCCCATCTATAGGATTTATAAAAAAAGGAAAGACTTGAGCCTAATCTTATAAGTAGACAAGGTGTCAGCCTCACTGATAAAAACTGGAAGTTGGTTCATAAGAGAGGAGCCTGATAACTGAAAGATCTGCCTCCCATTCTGCTTTTGGAAACTCTAGGAACCAAAAGTAAACCTGCAGTCTGAGAGCAAAGTGCTCTTTTAGGAAAATGTGGAACAATAAGGTCTGTAATATAAGATGAAGCTCGGTTGTTGAGAGCTTTGTAGGTTAGAAGTAAGATTTTGAATTCAATTCTGAATTTGACGAAGTCAGTGGAGCCAATGGCTAACCTGGAAAAATATGATCTCTCCTGTGAACTCTCATCAAGAGTCTGGCAGCAGCATTTTGGATCAACTGAAGACTTTTTAAAGAAGTATTTGGACACCCAGATAATAAACCATTCTAATAGTCCAACCTAGGGCTGGACAATAATTTATATCTATATATCACGATATACTTTCATTCAGTAATGGTAATATGAGTTTTAAGCACATTTTTAATGTTTCAATAGACATTACGCTATGATTACAGCGTTTCACTGACGCATGGTTTGTTTTCTGTTCCGGTTGAAGCAGCCGCTTCAGTTTCAACCCGAACAGAAAAAGCCACGACACAACTACGTAAGTGTGTGGTGACGTACACCACAGCTCGAAAGAGTCCGTGGTAGTAGGCTAGGCTAAGCTCCAATGTAAGTTTTCGCTTCAAAATGAGTGCCCATGACCGTCAGAATGTGACTGAACAAGCGTTCACAAGCGAAGAGAAAGCAGATGACTTAATCGATGAGAGGAAAGACTAATTTGGCGGTGTGGAAGTGGTTTGGCTATCTGCAGGTTTCAATGTGCTGCAAAATGTGACGGTCGTTCCCAATTAGAGGTGGGAACACATCTAACTTGTTCCATCTGAAGAGTTTCCACTCGAAAGAATATGCTGAGTGTCAGAAGATGCACAATGAAAGTTTGAGCCAACGTGTCCCTGAAACAACTCCCCCAGTTGTATCAAAAGAGAAACGCATGCAGCAAATGCACATGGTTGCTACATGGGTTGTTAGGTTGATGGTGATTTCAAATTTATTTGAAGGCTAAATACAAATAAAAGGTGAATTAATTTATTTGTACAGTTTGTACAATTTTTCTGAGGCTTTTATATTGTTTATATCGATACCGGAATTATATCATCAACGGAAATTAAGGAATATATTGTGATATAAGTTTTGGCCATATCGTCCAGCCCTAGTCCAACTTGGACGTGACAAATGCATGGACCAGTTTTTCTTCATCATTTTTAGACCAGATGTTTCTAATGTAACGAGTACAACAGTGGTACTAAAGCCATTACTATAATGGCACTACAGTCAGAACTACAGTGATACTACACTCAGACCTAGAGGAGTACTGTATTCTGAACTACTAAAGTACTAGTCAGTACTACAGAGCATGCACTTTAATCCAGGTAAATAAATCTTACAAGGTAGTCAGGTGCTCTGGACGGATTCTTTGTTGAAACGTTTCGTCTTTTATCCAAAATACTTTTTTAGTGCGAGGAGCTGCAACATACTCAGGCTTATAAATAACACCTTCTCATAAGCTATGTTTACATGGACATAAGTAATCGGATTAAAAGGTCATTCGGAATAATAATGCGTCTTGTAAACGTCCCATTCAGATGATTTTTTTTTGTTGATTCAGCTCGAGCCGAATGAATTTGTAATCCGAATGAGAGGAGTGGTTTATGCCGATTCACAATCCGAACGGTGCGCATGTAAACACTTAATCTGATAATTGTATTCAGATCGTGAAAAACTGACCTGACTGCGCACGTGTGACCTGTCAAACCCACATATTTCTGCCTGGCTAGAAGCTAATATGTCGGAGAAGCTAAACTGGTCGGTGAGCGACAACATTTCTACTAGAAACTCTGAAAGAGCTCCAAATGATCTGTATCACCTGTAGCTCAGTCAGGGAGTGCAGCAACGTCTCCATTAAAACATGGCGCGGGTCCGTTTTGGGCGCTCAGTAGGGCTGGGTGATATCTCGATATTTTAAAAACATCGAGATAATTTCAAACGTGATATAAAATGAGACTGTGTCGATATAAAATTATATAGTCTTAGAGTTATCATTATATTTGAAAATCCATCAGTTTTTTCTCCCAGTCTGAGCCCAGTCTGAGCCTTCACGCCTCCTCTCTGTCACTGAATACATACCTGCTCCTCCCCCGCTGCAGCTGAAGACTATTGCAATTATAAAGCTGAGCTAGATGTATATGCAGATAAATCTTTAGGTATGTTTACATTCATTAATTAAACAAAGGGTTCTTATGGTGTGATCTTCATGGGAACCATTCTGGGAGAAGTACTCTTTTTCGATAAAGGAAGATATCAAAGTAGCGAGTTCAGATGTTTCCAAAACTCCCAAGGTCAGTTGAACCAAAACTCTCATTAAAACGATCGGTCCGTTTCATGGGAAACGAGTTCTTATTGGCAGTGAAGTTTACACAGTGACAGTTTTTTTAATTACATTTACATTAGTGTCAACTAAGAAGTTCGTGAGCTGAGTTGAATATTTGTAAAACAATGTCTGTTTGTTCTAGATGAATCTTACTTTTAACAGTTTCAAACACAAGAACACATGAATGATGTTTGTTTGGTGTTCCCCTACAGCGGTATGTTTAAATTTTAAATGCACAGCTGTGTTTTTTATTTTGTTACGCATGAAAAAAGACGTTTTGTACAGTATACACGCTGTTTTTAATAAAGGTGCTGTGTGACAATTGGGACTAATGCTTTGACTGAAATATATCTTTGTTATTACTTTATGGAAAGAAAAAATATTGTTATATATATATTGTATATCACAATTCATCTTAAAATATCAAAATATTAATTTTGGTCCATATCACCCATCCCTAGTAAAAACTACATTGGTACTGCAGTCAGTACTACAGAGGTACTATACTAAAAACTACATTGGTACTGCAGTCAGTACCACAAAGGTACTAATCAATATTACATTTGTTTTAGATATTAAACTCTGTTGTTCATTTCTTAGGAACAAAGAGGAAGCGTGAGCGCTCACACAGCCAGGATCTAAAGAGGCTCCGCTCTTCATCAGGCCAGGCCACCTCCAGATCATCATCTTCCATAAAAAGGAGTCTAGGGTCGTCCTCTAAAAAGACGTCCAGCCCTAGAGGCCGCCCTGTTTCCACCTACCGCCATGAATACTATGATGATCGAAAGGGTCGGCGTGGAGCCCGAGAGGCGCCCCGGAGCCGTGGGGGTGAGGACACACGGCGCAGGGAGTCTCATCGGAGCCTGGAGAGTCTGAGTCGGGTATTGCTGCTTTCAGTAACATACATGCTTCGTGGCTGCTGTGGTTCTTTGCCAATCACACCTATTTCCTGTTTGTCTTTAGAAACTGCGGCATGGTGAACGGCGGGCAAGCCCCCCCCCCCACAATAATGACAACCAATCAGAAGAAGAGGCCGAGTATGCCTCGGAGCAGGGGTCGTGCAGTTCGTCCCCTGCTGCGTCCCACGTTGAGGAAGAGGAGGAGGAGGATCAGGAAGAAGAGGATGAGGAGGAAGGAATGGAGGAGGAAGAAGAAGAGGAAGGAGAAAAGGACGAGGAAGAGGAGGAAGAATACGATGAGCGTCGTGGCGGTGAGGGAAACGACTACGACACTCGGAGTGAAGCTGGGGATTCACGCTCTGCCTCCTCCATTAGTTTCTCTGATGATGGTGATTCAGTACACTCAGGCTCCGCCTCCGAGGCCTCAGGTAACCATGGCAACAGGCACTCTTTTTCAGACTAGCTGAACTTTATTCTTAAAGCAGTCCTATGCTTTTTATTATTTAAAGGATCAGAGAAGAAGCGGGAGAAGTTGTCATCATCGGTTCGAGCTGTTCGAAAACGGATGGAGAGTAAGAAAACTCAGAAAGCTCTTAATGTTGTTTCACAGAACCTTTACAGAACCAGTCTTGTGGTTCTAATCTAAAAACAGGAACATCTCATGTGGTTGCAGATCCCGCCATTAAGCTGCGTTACATCCTGCGAGATGCTCGATTCTTCCTCATAAAGAGCAACAACCACGAGAACGTTTCTCTGGCTAAAGCAAAGGTAAAGAACCCGAGCCCCGACCCGGTCCCCCGTTGGGCTCCAGACTCATCCTTAGTTTGTCTCCTTTCATTTTTGTTGTTTCCTCTTGTCGTTCTTCTTGTTTTTCTCGTTCTTGTTATGTTCACTTGATTTTGTTTTGTCGTTCTTGGGGTTTCCTCTATTCACTCTTTTATTGTTCTTGTTGTTCCCTCCTGTCCTTGTTGTTTTCTCGTTGTGTTGTGCTGTTGTTGTAATTTTCTGTCGTTTTTGTGGTTTTGCTTTGTCGTTCTTCTTTCTTGTCAATGTTTCTTCTTGTCGTTCTTGTTTTCTCATTCTTCTGTCGATTTTGTTGGTTTTGTCGTTCCTGTTTCCTCTTGTCGTTCTTCTTGTTTCCTTTATTCCCTTTTGTGTTCTCCTTTCGTTCCTATTCTTTATTCTAGTTGCTGTGTTTTTGCGATTCCCCGGTGCTGTTGCTGAAGTTCTTTCTTCCACTTGTCTGTGGTGTGCAGGGCGTTTGGTCCACGCTGCCAGTAAACGAGAAGAAGTTGAATGCTGCGTTCCGGTCGGCTCAGAGTGTAATTCTTATCTTCTCCGTGAGGGAAAGTGGAAAGTTTCAAGGTTCGTACATCTTCTTTCTTCATCGTTCAACCCTGCAGCTGCAGTCCTTGTTTCTCTTCACTTCTTTAAGGCCTGTTGTGTCTCGCCTGTTTACTCGTCAGGTTTTGCTCGTTTGGCGTCGGAGTCCTATCACGGTGGTTCTCCGATCCACTGGGTTCTTCCTGCTGGTATGAACGCCAAGATGCTGGGAGGAGTCTTCAAGATCGACTGGCTGTGCAGGTGAACAGCTTCACGGTTTTGTCAGACTAAAGAAGTCGATTTGATCATAGGGTATAGGGACACCACAGAAGAACTAATGACGTTATGACTTATCCACCTGCTGCTGGCAGTAGAGACGGTAGAGAGATGAGTGATTCATCCGAGGAGGACAGGAGTCGACAGGAAAAGATTTAAAAAGCAAAAATAAAAACATTCATTTTGTGTTAACAATTTTATGCTCCGAATACATGACTCAGTTTTGTTCTATGATTTTGTTTCAGTTTTTTTTAGTACTAAGTATCTTCTGAATATTATTACAGTATTGTATTCAGGTCTCTCTTGTAAATGAGTCCTCGAGGCTCAATGGGATTTACCTGTATAAATAAAGGTTGCTCAAGCACTTCTTCTTCTTCTTCTTTCAGCTTTTCCCTTATCAGGAGTCTCCACAGCAAGTCATCCTCCTCCATCTCACTCTGTCCTCTGCATCTTCTGTCCTCACTCCAACTACCTCCATGTTCTGCATCCACATTTCTCCTCTTTGTCTTTTTCCTGGCAGCTGCATTTCTAACATCCTTCTACCAGTATACCCACTGTCCCTCCTCTGGACATGTCCAAGCCATCTCAATCTGGCCTCTCTTTATCTCCCAGTTGTTCAGCCTCTGCTAGAGCTGTCATTTCTAACCCGAGCCCTAAGCCCAGCACCACCCGAATTCGTGCTGGGCTATTATTGTGCTGGATTGGCGTGTCAGGCTTTTAATTAGGTCAGGATCAGCCGCGATCCAATTATGTGATGACATGGCCTGCCATACAATCACCAGCAGCCATTTCACCGTGAGCTGACCGGCCTCGAAAGAGGTAAAAAGTTCAGTTAAGCTTCAGATGGGTCTGTACTGCCAGGCAGCGTTCCATCACTCAAATGGACGTTCAGCCGCTGCACTCAGCAGATGTGCGCAGCCAACGACCCAAACAGGTGAGATCCAAAGCAGACGTGTGAGAGCAGGGTCCGTGTGAATAAATCAGAATGCAGGCAGAAACAAGGGTTAATGCACTTTTACGGCCGTGAATAGACAAACACCCCCTCAGCTCCGATCTTCTGTCCCTTTAATTCAACCACACGTCCCCGACCGTAAATAAGTAATTAAAAATGTCGGGTGGGGGGGTGGTTCCGGGTTCAGACCTGTATTTACTGTTAATATGTTGGGTCAGGTGGGGTTTGGAAATTATGACTGTGGGCTGGTGCCGGGTCGGTTCGGATTTTTTGGGTTTGAATGCAACTCTAGCTTGTGCTGTACCTCTGATGATTTCATTCCAAATCTTATCCATCCTTGTCACTCAACACCTTCACTTCTGCCATTTCCAGTTCTTTCTCCGGTCTTTTTGTCCACGTCTCTGTCTCCAGACCATACAACATAGCTGGTCTCACAACTGTCTTGTAAACTTTTCCTTTGACCTTTGCTGCCACTTTATTTTTGTCACAAATCTTCTCTCCATCCACTCCATCCTGCCTGGACTCTCTTTTTCACCTCTTTACCACACTCCCCATTTTCCTGGACAGTGGACCCCAAGTCCCTGAAGTCCTGCACCTTTGTGACCTCTGCTCCTTGTAGCCTCACTGTTCCACCTCCTCCCTCTCATTCACACACATGTACTCTGTCTTACTATGGCTGACTTTCATTCATCTTCTTTCAAGTGCATACTTCCACCTCTAATGCCCCTTTTCCATTAGTACCTTTAGTACCGGTACAGCATGGTTCCACTCGGTACGATACAAGTTGTGTTTCCATAATACTTTCAGTAAATATTCTAGTGGGCAGGCTTAGCGTTCAAAAATTGACGTAACACGCCTCACCAGCTGGTGGCGTTGAGACCCTGAAACAGATTTCAGTACAGGGTGAGAATTTATTTTGAAGTTTCTGGTAAATTAAAAAGAATACAGATTATTAAA